CCCCCCCCGAAAAACCCCCCCGCCTCCCCCAGCTGCATCAAGCAAAGCCACCGTTTCATTTTGCAGGTGCTACGGAGGAAGGAGACGACTGGTCTATCTCTGAGCAGGAGAGCTCCCCATAAGCAGCCAGCACCTGTATGTTTGCTTAGGGTTTTTTTTTATATATATATATATAAACCAAATACCTGGCCCTGTAGAGAAGCTGTTCAAACACGCTTGCTGCAGACGGTTTCCCTGAAGCAAATACCTCGCCGGGTCTCCGGCAGAGGGAAGGCAAAACCAAAGTGAAACAAAAATGAAAAGGGCTTTGGGGCTGAAAAGGAGAAGTGAGGAGCTGGATGGGGGATCCTGCCATAGTCCTGGAGCCTGCATTAAACTGCTCTTTCCTTCGCGGGGGGCTCAGACCCAGACCTCATGCCTGCACCGGCCGCTGCCCTGGAGCATCCCGGGAATGGGGCAGAGGGGAAATGTCCCCCCTTCTCCCTCCTGCCTCACTGCCCCCCAGGCGCCAGCCCAGTGCAGAGCACCCATACAGCACTCAACCCCAGGAGCGGGCAGGGTGCTGCCTGGGGGGCTGAGCTTCCCAGGGAGCAGAGGACGGCGACCAGGAGCATCCTCCCTCCAAGGAACTCCTGTCCCTGGGACAAGCCCTGTCCGGACCACGGGTCTGCCCAAGAGCGATGGGCCTGGGAGGGCGATGCAAGGTGGGTGAGTGGGGATGGCGGCCCACGGGAAACAAGTTGCTTTGGTGGCACCATGTCTGTCACAAGCCAAAACCACCAAGCTTTTTGGGCAATGCAAGCAGCAGGGTCACATCTGGAGCACCAAAGCACCCGACAGCGCTCTGGCCAGCCCCGTGCTGACACCTCTCCATTCTGCCAGTGGGACCAGGGCCACCCCGGCAGCTGCAGGGACCCTTCCCCAAGCCTCCGCATGGGGACATGAGCCCGGAATCACAAGCCACAAGAGCTGCCATGCACCTGGGCTGGGAAAGCAGAGGGGAGGAGAAACCTTCTTACGACAAGGCAAACAACGATTCTAATAAATGAGTAACAGCCCTGCGACCTGCCTGCATGCTGCCAGGCGTCCTCGTCTTATCTCCCCCAAACAAACAAGCCCTGAACTTTGCCTGCTGCCCAGCTCCAGGCACGATGGGGATTGGAGCCAGGAGCACGGCCGGGCAGGGAGGCAGGGATGGTGCTTATCACAGGGCAAGCGCAGTGCTGCGCGCCAGCCCCGGCTAACAGAGAGGGAGCACGGGCGCGGCGGGGGGGGGGGGGGGAAACAAAAATAATAAATTAAGCTGTAGGGCTGTGCAGAGTTCCTAGCCGGGCAGCTTCCCCTGCTGCTGGGGCTGGGCTCCTCTGCTTTTTCCAGGGGAGCAGCTACACCCACTTCCAAAGGCGCCTTTGCCCAAGATCAGATGTAACTTTGTCCTAAAGGACATTTAATCAGTTAGCTGTAAGAGCCAGTTAATATTTTACTTGAAGGGAAGGGCTGCTCCGAGCTTCTCGTTTTCTTTTTATTTTTCATACCTAGGGTGGGGGAGAAAGAGCAAGAAGGAACTGAAACCATCCTTGGCCCCACTCAGATTGTCACCCAGGGCTGCAGCCACACCAAACCCCCCAATCCATCATCCCCCTCCTCGGCAGGTGCAAGTTCAAAGCTCTGGGCGAAGGCAAGGGCCGGGGCGGGAGGCAGTAGAGGTCTCAGTCCGTGGGACCCGCTGGTTGGGCTGGGGGTGGTTGGTTTGCTCAAGCCCAGCTCTTCCATGGGAAACGGGGAAAAGCCAGGAGGGGAAACGCTGCAGAGAGCTTTCTCCAGGGGAGGGAGACAAAAGGGGGACAGGAAGAGGCTGAAAAGTGGCAGCAGCTCCGATGAAATCTGGGGTTTAAGAGAAAAACTGCCCAGAAAAGCCCATCCCATCCCCAGGAGTGAGCTCCCAAGCGCCTCGGTGCCTCACCTACTTCCCAGCGCAGGGGGGGCTGACATAGGACCCGAAATATGGCCCCAGCTCCCGTCCCGGCCAGCGACACTGAAGGAGAAAGGTGGTGGAGGCAGGATCCGGCCGCGGGGCTGACGGCCTCCCCAAGAGCAGGGCGAAGCCAGGAACCAGCCACTCTAATCGCAACGTGCAATGTCCACGGGGGCCAAAGCCCACCCTCCTACCGCCGGCTCCTGGGGCTCCCGTGGGATGCAGCTGCGGCTCCCAGCACGGAGCCAGGCGAGCCAGACCCAGGCACCAGCTCCTGCCAGCGGGACAGGTTTGCTGGTCCCCGGGGAACGCCAGGAAAGCAGCGGGGTGGCGGAGGCGTGCAGGCGTGCATGAGCGCGCAGGGGAGCAAGCGAGCGAGCCCTGGTCAGGTCTGACTGGGTTTACTGGGTCACGACGGAAGCTGTGCGAGTGTGACTGTGCCGGCCTCAGCCTCCCACCGGCAGCCAGCAGGCACAGCACACCCAAACAAGCCGGCTCGGTCGGCACCTCCTTAAAATCCCCACAACCAGCGTCTCTGGAGGTGCAAAAAGCTTTTGATGAGCGAATTTCCCAGCGGCAGGTCTCACCACCCTGGATCTGGCCAAAGAACCCAGCCACACCATGAAGCTGCCGCACCCCTCGACGGTCACTGTGCCGGGCACTTCTGCCGGCTATGATGGCCCCTTCCCGCTGCCCCACGGTCCTCAAAGGCATGAGGCAGCAAAACCTGGGAGCAAGAGCCGGCCACAAGCCACGGTGCGGGGAAGCTGCGCTGTCAGTTGGGCTAGCAAATATGGAGGGACCTCAGCTGGAGTCTTATGGGCCCCCCTGTGGCTGTTTGCTCAGCAGCACAGCTGGAAAGTGATGACAGCTTTTTAATTTAAAGGGAACCCAGAAGAAAGGATGGAAATGCCGGGAGGGAGCAGCTCTTCTCCCAGCATCCATCCTGGAGGGCGGGACAGAGTTGCGGAGTGGGACACTTCCCTATCCCGCCACTCCATGGACAGTTTGTGGTTAATTCACTGAGCTCTAGTAAAGGCCAAGCAGGCTCCCGGAATGGCTGCCGGACCTTTCTCCCCTCCTCGTGGGCTGGCCCCCCTTGGCATCGTGCACTCCTCCAAGCAAGCGCTGCTGGCTTCCCAGTGAGGGCCAGGATTTCCAGCGGGTCTCCTCCGTGTTACAGGGTTGCAAAACAGCCTTAACAAAACTCCCAGCAGGGACTGCACCAGGAGCCACCAATTACGCCTTGCTTTTTTACGGCAGCCAAGGCACTCCAAACCCTGCATGGCCGATTCAGCTTTACTCATCAGGGCCAAGGCTGGCACGTGACCCCCTGGGGCCCCCTTGCCTCCCCGGCTGCTCGCTCCCCCAGCCACGTTCCCACTGGCCCAGCACCATTTTACCCTCCGGGGGACCCGCGCAAGTTGCCCTCGGGTTCAGCCAAAACAGCCCGACCCGTTCCCGGCGCAGTGGAGGGAAAGGCACCCGCCCCAGGGGACAAGGCGGGGAGAGCTCCTGGCTCCCAGGCGTGGGAACAAGCCAAGGAATTAGGGGAAAAGAGCCATCCAGCGAGAGGCGAGCCTAGCCCCTGCCTGGCTGCGAGTGCGGCATGTTTCGGGCCCCCCTTCCCTGGAGCCGGCAGACCTTGAGCGAGAAATCCTGCGAGATGCAGGAAGAGGAGCCGGGATGGAGGTTGCCAGGCAACTTTAATTCAGCCCTTGACGAACTTCCAGCACTTTGCTCTGCTGCAGAGCCCAACCAGCAAATGATAAAACATCAGGTTCACCTTGAACCCGTGGTGTCCATCCGTCCATCCATCCATCACAGGGGCTTGCTCATGTCCCCATGCCCAGGGTGCCCTGCAAGGCGATGGGTCCCCCCTGGCAGCATCCCCGAAGGCCAGCCTGCGATGAGCCACCCTTCCCAGCAGAGATTTGCAGGGGCAGGATTTGACCCGTGGGACTGGGCTGGCGCTGCCGCATCGATATTTCTCAACCAGCCGGGATTTTTGTCAACAGCAGCAAGAAAAAAATGCTAACATGCTGAAAGCCCTCAGGGAAGAGGAGATCCGTGCTGGGTTTGGGGGCTGGGGAGTGAAGGAGCACAGTGACCTCCCGGGAGCCCCTCACCGAGTTTATTTTAGTTGCTTGCTTTAAACAAAACCATGCTCGACCCTTCAGCAGACACGCACAAGAGCTTTGGTGATTTGGGAAGCAGATATATCCCTCCTTTACCCAAATTTGGGATTTGGGCACAGCAGAGGGGAGGGAGAGCGGCGACATTGGCTCCTCTCAAGGAGCATCCCCCCCCCCCCGCCACAAAGCCCCCATGCACGGCACAGCCACCATGGAGCCAGGGGGGCGGGCAGCAGGCCGTGGGAACGGGCTCCGAATTCCCCCAGCACGGCATGGCCCCCATCCGCCGCCAGCAGAGACCGGCACATCCAGCAGAGGAGAGCGCCCAGCTCTGATCCCACCAACGTCACGGCGGGGAGGAGGCGCGTGAAGGAGCAAAGTGATGGATGGGAGAGCGAGCGGGGCCAGGCAGGGACGTGGGCCTGTTTAAGGGACACTAGTGCCGGCAGGAGCCAGACATCTAAACATCCCTGAAAAGACAAGCTGATCCATCAGCAATAAAACTAACAACAGCCCAGTTTCCGACAGATTTGCCCTGCTGGCCCCCCAGCACCGTGCCTTTATCTCCATCCCCCTGCAGCATCCCTCTGGGAGATGCTGCCCGCCCAGCAAGGGGCAGGGACCAGCCATGGTGTCCACCTGCACCGCTGCAGGGATCGGGGCATTTTAGCTTCTCCCCAGCTCCCCATTTTCACTGTTCTTACAAGAACTTGTTCCTCTCCTCCATCGGGTCAGGTCTAACGCGGGGCAGGAGGTTCAAAGGGGCTGCCAGGCAGCAACGCAGCTCACTGCCAAGTCCCCGCAAGAGCTCTCCCAGCATTCCCATCCAAACCCACCCAAAAAACCCAACTGAGACAATAAGGAAAGCTGCTCTGGCCTGTGCCATGGGCAGGCATCACCTTCCTGCAGCCGCCTGCCAGGCATGTGGACGGCTCCTCTCCAGCAGCAGCTCCCAGAGCGCCGCAAGCAGACGGCAAGAGCATGGTGCCCGGGAAGGCAGGACAGAGTGCTCCTCTGCTCCCCATCCATATGGAAAACCCACCAACACCGGCCATCGGCCAGAACAGCTCCTTGCCCAGCTCCATTGCCCCAAAAGCCTTGCTCAGAGCTGGCCCGGGAGGCAAGGGTGCAAGGAGGGGAGGCTGAAGGGCAAACCCTTGCAGCTCAGTGGCGGCACTGGGAGCACTAAGGGATGCCCCGGCCAGCCCAGACCCGGCACCCCCGGGCAGGGCAGCAAATCTCCCCTCGCAGGAGCAACTCCCCACATGCCAGAGGCTGTTTGG